GGATTCAATCAAACATTCGAATCAGAAACACAAATTGTTTGGAATGATTATCATACATTTATGAAAAGTGCTGTTGAAGAGATCGAAGAAAGATTTAATTATGGAATAGTTATTGACTTGCATGGTAACTAGAATTTAATTCTGTTGAATAAAAGAGAGAATAATCATAAAACTTTATAGATCAATCAATTAATTTACATATGATATTCATTTTATTTTTAGGACATGGACATCCAGAAAATTATATTGAATTAGGTTACGTTTTATCATCTGAAATATTATCTTTGCCAACCAATGAGCTCAACTCTGATCAATCAATCCCATCAAGATCAAGCATAAGAGCTTTGTATACTAGGATGCAATCAGCTTTAAATTTTGTTGATTTATTACTTGGCGAGACAACTTCTTTTGGTGGTATATTGCAATCTTATGGTTATGGTACAATACCATCTTATGCTCACCCGTATCCAAAGCAAAATGAAAGATATTTCCATGGTGGTTACATTGTACAAAAATACGGTTCAAGACACGGAGAACAAGTTGTCGATGCGATACAAATTGAGTATGTATTATTATTATCATCATCATCATCATCATCAATTGGAAATGATTAATTAAATGTTAAAGATATTAATAAATATTATTTATTTATTTTTAGATTGCCAAGAAAAATAAGACTTGGAAGTAAGGAAACAAGAGAAACATTTACTAAAACTTTATCAAATACCGTCTCATGGCTTCTAAAAGAATATTATTTACGAAAACCAGGAAATCTTAATCAAGCTAGTTAGAAACTAATTCATTAAAAAACAAGTTATTATTATTTATTTGATATAATGATAGTTATCATATTTATTTTTTTGAAAAAAAAAAAAAAGTATTTATTTAATAATTTTAATTACATTAATTAATGTTTATTTGTATATTTTTAATTTTTAATTTTTAATTTTTTTTTTTTTTTGAATTAGAAAAAGATTTATATTTAAATTTTTTGTAGATAAAAAAAATTTTTTTTTTTTCAATAATAATATTTTTTATGGAATGAATTTTTTTTTTTTTTAAATGTTTTTTTTTTTTGATTTATTTATTTACATTACAATATTTATTTATTTGTTTTTAATTAATTAATTAGTTAAATAAATAAATATGTAATTTTGTTTTACTAATACTAAATGTTTTTTCGTGATCAAAAATTCGAATTTTCGTTCATTCATGCTTTCTTTTTCTTTTTTTGATTCATTTTCTTCTTTGTTTCTAACATTGTACTAACAAAAGGTGTTGGATCAGTTGTAAAATATTTAGAAACATTTATTGTAATATTGATCAAGTACCACAATTTTTCAATTATTTTTCTAACTTCTTTGCTTGTTTGTTCAGCTTTATCCAATTGTTTACTCTTAAATATTTTACTGTAATCATGATTATAATACTCGTCAACCAAAGCAGCAGCTTTTTGTTGCTTCTCTTTCATCTCCTTTATTTTACGAAAATAATCATCTATTATTTGATTAGCAAAATCATCAATTGCTTCGTTATTTCCTTCCGTGTAG